CTCTTGACCTTGTGATCCACCTGCCTCAGCCTCCCAAAGTGCTGGGATTACAGGCGTGAGCCAGTGTGCTGGCCCTGTATGTATCCCTCTTACAGTTATATGTGTAAAAGCTGAACCTCAATTCACATTATATATAAAAATTAATTTGAGATGGGTCAAGAATTAAACATAAAAGCTAAAACCACAATTAAACCTTCTAGAAAAAAACAGGAGAGTATCTAAAAACTGCGAACAGGCCAGGTGCAGTGGTCATTCCTGTAATCCCAGCACTCTGGGAGGCAGGGGTGGAGGACTACTTGAGGCTGGGAGTTTGAGATCAGCCTGGGCAATGTAGTGGAAAACCCTGTCTCTACAAAAAAAAAAAAAAAAGGTTAGCCAGGTGTACCTGCGGTTCTAGCTACTTGGGAGGCTAAGATGAGAGAATCACTTGAGCCCAGGAGTTCAAGGCTGCGTGAGCTGAGATCACACCACTGCACTCCAGTCTAGGCGATAGAGCAAGGCCCTATCTCGAAAAAATACATATATAAATACATACTGAAAACTATGGTGTCATTAGTCAGAAGATAAATGAACCAATTATGGTTTACCTGCACCAATGGAATACTGCTACACAATAAAAAGTACCTGACTGCCAACATGGAACAAAATACGTAACAATGGGAATAAACCTTGAAACGTAACTGGGAGAAAGATGCCATGCAGAAGAGAGTAGTATGAATACTTTTATATGAAGTCGGATATCAAGCGAAACTCATGCACGGTGAACTAAATCACAATAGTGGCTGCCTAGGGCAGAGGGGTCAACTGACTGGGAAGAGGTCTGAGGGATCTTTCAGGGGTGATGAAATGGTCTGGACCTTGATGGGAGGTGAGTTTCAAAGGTGGATGCATTTGCCAAAATTCACTGAACTGTAAAAACATCATCTGTACACCTTCCTGTCTGTAAATTATCTGTATTTCTGTAACAAAAATACTTAAAATTAGAATATTTTATACTACAAAAAGAGGCAACATAAAAAAACTTGTTCTTGGCTCTCGAGTTCCAATAATCCTTGATACCAACCTATTTAGAGAGTAGACTCTTTGGGGTTTCTTCTGAGTACAATGGGTGGGGTTGGGTCCATATTTACAAGAAGGTCTGAAGTAGGAAAAGACAGAAAGACACCAACACAATGACCTAAAACCCCTTCCTTTTTGTTTTTTGTTTTTTTGAGATGGGAGTTTTGCTCTTGTTGCCTAGGCTGGGGTGCAACGGTGCAATCTTGGCTCACCGCAAGCTCAGCCTCCTGAGGCTCAAGTGATTCTCCTGCCTCAGCCTCCCAAGTATATGGGATTACAGGCATGCACCACCACATCTGGCTAATTTTGTATTTTTAGTAGAGATGGGGTTTCTCCATGTTGGTCAGGCTGGTCTTGAACTCCCGACCTCAGGTGATCCACCTGCCTTGGCCTCCCAAAGTGCTGGGATTACCGGCATGAGCCATAGTGCCTGGCCCTAAAGCCCCTTCTATAAACGGCATCACCCACCACCAGAACAAAAGGGTATTGTATTCCTAAACCAGCAGCCCAAACCATCCAGCCTGCCCTTCCCTACTGCTTTCTGACTTTCAGCTTAAAGCATGTTCAATGTATTAAGTAACAAGTGTCAGTGAATGCCGGGCAGACCCCGAGTCACTCAGCACATATCACCCACTACAACTTGTATGGACAGCATCAAACCTCATGCCTCATATCCTTTTTCTTTCTTTCTTTCTTTTTTAAATAAATACACATTAATGAGCAACCGAGAGAAGCTAGGGAAGTGAGATCAACGTAAGGCATCAAGGACAGGAATCCAAACTCTACCTTCTGCCCAGACAGCAATTAACAAGCCTCAGTTAGGGAAATTACAAGTCAAACTGCATTGCCATTAGAGGTCAGAGAAATGTTTTTTTCTGAGATAGTGATAATACAAATCAGACTCTTGCTAAAGTCCTGCTTAGCTCTGAATATGCAGATTATTTCATCACTGTATGAAGCTAAGTATCAACCTTCTAAATCACTTGAAAATGACCATAAATTTCAAAACACGTATTCATTCTCAGCCACAAATTGGCCCCACCCAGAGTGCTTCAGCCTAGCCCCTTCATGCCTGCTCCTATGTTCCTTTCGAATGGCGTAAGTGAAAAATCCCAACAGAGATAGGGTGGGAGGCGGGTGGAGGGAATCAAGAGACAAACACCAAGTAGCCACAGGTGTGCAGAGGAAAGTGAATAAAAACCTTGTCTCAACCTCCAGGCACCTCCCAGCCTTCCCTTCTGGTATCAGTGTGAATGTCAAGAGGTGTGCAGATGCCCCAGTGCGGCCAGACTTCAGTGGGAAGCTAATATGTGCCTTAACAGGACACTCTAACCCCCACTGGCTCTTCATCAGTATGACTCGGAGTTTGGTCCTAAAAGGCCTCTAGTGTTTTTCTGATATATAAAAAGGAGAGTAGCAGTTTTCTAAAGAAAGGGCAGACTAATCAACACGTATCAGTTCAGATCACTACAGGTGGCTCTCACGAAAGGGGAGAGCCTAGCAGGCTGCTGGAGACCACCCTTCCAGGCCATCTGAGACACTGCAACTGTCAGCAGGAGGCGAGTGTCACTTGCAGCTTGCCTGAACCTCTCCCCCGTAGAGATGGCAGGGACTGTTCAGAAATGTACTGAAGTCCTGTGGAGCTGAGAGGCTCAATGTGGTCCAACAAAAACCAAGATAAAGCTCACACTTCCGAATGACTGTTTCTCACAGCTCAGTGGCTGGGAGTGCTTCATTCACAGGGGACCACACCCTGATAACAGACACAGCCCACACCCTATTATCCATTAGGGCTGATACAGGAAAAGGGCAGAGGCTGAAACATCATGACTGACATCAGAGTCTGTGTAATGTTTCTGTAAACCACTCCCAGGGGCTGAGTCTCAGCAGTGCCAACTGGTCAGGGCTTCTAGGAATACCCGAGGCTAGAGAGTGAAGAGTCGCTGGGATCACCAGCACAGGCTTTAGAAGCTCTAATCTACTACAAACAACCAGGTGGCCCTAACACCGCACAGTGGGGATTCAGTTACTGAAATACAAAAGGTTGCAGTTATAAGGCAGTCCACAGTAGGGGTCCTAAGGGAAAGCCACCTTAGAGTGAGGTACCAAAGGACAGCCACGTCTTCATTCTTCCAAGAGTAGATTCTGTAACACAATTTCTCAGCCTGTGATTGGACCCCTCGTAGTAGCAGTCACTTTCATGGTAAGTTCAGTAAATGGGAAAAGACTTGGATACTGAGAGAGGCCACTTTATGGTTTCTTTCAAGCACTGGCAAAGGAACTGGGTATGTTCAGTCTCACAGTAACTCAACTCCAACAGAAAGGATCCCAAACTCAAGGACTCTGTCGTGTCCTCAAAATATCACAATTTGAGGACACATAATCAAAACATAAACATAGGTACTGAACTGTTGGATGAGGCTATAACAACAGGCCTTCTCCCTGTCCCCCAGCAGGGACCCCACCTTCAAGGTCAGTCTCTGGTTCCTCAGTCCATCTAAAATATTGTGCCCATCTAAAATGAGGTCATCCACGCCGTGGTGAATTTTCTGGAGGGAGGAGTTAAACTGCAGTGATTCGTCCATTGGTATGGTGGTGTCAGAGTCCTGGGAAAGAAACACAGGCACTTAGATTAACTTTGCTTGTCAGTCAGTCAGCTCCTGGGGTCTGACTGCTCTGCTGGCCGAGGCCAAGCCAGAACAGCCAGAGGGGATGGTGCAAGAATCAGCGGATCTAATGGATAAAAACGCCATGCAAAGGCCCGGGGTGGCCTCTGTCCACACGGAAGAGGAATTTCCTTAGATCTGTCACTCTCCAAATGAGTTCCACTCCACAAGTAGCGTTCATTCTTGCCTCTGTAGCATTATCTCCACTTAGGAAGAGCTATTCCTTCAAGATCTCACTGGGTGTCTCGTAAAGGCTTTCTCTGACTACTCGCTAACATAGCTTGTTCCAAATCTTCCTTTCCGTGGCTTCCCCTTAATGTAGTGTTAAATGTTTGTTTTTGTCCTTTAGCTATTTTATCTACAATTTAGCTCTCCAAGTAGACTAAGGGTTGACTAAGGATAAAGGAGGCTGTGCTTCTGCATTTTCTTTTTTTTTGAGAAAGGGTCTCCCTCTGTCACCCAGGGTGGACTGCAGTAGTGCGATCTCAGTTCACCGCAACCTCAGCTTCCTGGACTCAAACAATTCTCCCACCTCAGCTTTCTGAGTAGCTGGGACCACAGGTGCATGCTACCATGTCCAGTTTTTTTTTTTTTTTTTTTAGTATTTTTGGTAGAGACAGGGCTTCACCATGTTGCTCGGGCTGGTCTTGAACTCCTGTGCTCAAGCATTCTGTCCGTAGGCCTCCCCATTTTACAGATGAAAAAATGCCCAGAGAGGTAAAATGACTTGTCCAAGATCACAGAGCTGGTAAGAAGTCCCGTGGACGTGGGAGTCTGGGTACTGAGCGCAGGGCCTGCCCTGTTACCCATACTGTAGAGAGAAACACCAAGGGCCATCCTGGTGGCTCTACCTGTGCACTGAAAGTGGACTACAGACAGGAGCCAGGTCCTCACCAGCTGTGAGAGTGTCCTGTCTCTTTTCTGCCAATCACAAACTCTCCTGCCATGTAGTGCTGGGGTTTGTTTTGGGGTTTTTTTGTTTTTTGTTTTTAGACAGGGTCTCATTCTGTCACCCAGGCTCGAGTGCAGCCTTGATCTCCCAGGCTTAAGTGATCCTCCTAACTCAGCCTCCTGAGTAGCTGGGACTATAGGCGCACACCACCATGCCCGGCTAATTTTTATACTTTTTTTGTAGAGATGAGGTCTCACCATGTCACCCAGGATGGTGAACTCCAGAACAATTTGCTACCTTAGTCTCCCAAAGTGCTGGGATCACAGGCGCGTGCCATTGCGCCGGGCCCTACTAGTGCTGTTTTTACCCCTAAACCCCAGTTTCAATTGTCAAAAAAAAAAAAAAAAAGTTTTGCCCCCCGTTTTTTTGCTGCCCAAATTCGGAATCATTTTGCACATGTGCATTTTCAACTGCCCCTGCTAACAAGGGAGCTCCTCACAGGCAGGAGTCAGGTTTTTAAATTTCCTCATGCGTTTTACTCCTAGTGCCTGAATTCACTAGTGTTCCACATGCAGCTGATGCTCAGTGCGTCAAAAGACACTAGTGTTTCAAAGGATCACTTAGAGACTTCCCTTCAGTAATCTGACAAGCACTTATGGAATGTTGCTTATATACAAATCTTCTTACCCTCCTATCTAAAACGGTATGGCTGATGGGCCATTATCTCTCAGAAAAAATGTATTATAGCTCCAGATGGTAGAATGACCAGGAAGAAGTTTCATCTGGCAAGTCAATGTTTGTTAGGAACTGACTGTATGCACAGCATCACGCCAGGCTGGCAAAAAAGCAGAATCATCCTGAGCCATTATCCTTGACCTAAAAAAGGCCTGAATGCTACATTATAACAATGTAAAATCCAGGCAGCATCTTTTAGTGTGTCTTATCGTTCATTATAATTTTTGAATTGTTAAACACTGTGACTTGACTGCTTACTCTGGAGAAGCAACACTATGTAGGCATATTCTGAAACACCTGGGGCAATTTGTTGCAAAGCAAGGATACAGCATTGAGGGTTAAACATACAAAGCAGGAAATGATGTGAATTTTAACGACAGGCTTAGAAAGCTAACATCTGTTTAGAAAATAAATCTCTGTAAAAAACAAAATACAGAAAGCCAAAGCACACTTCACCTAGTGGAATATATTACATAGGACACAGAAAAGGCCAGTATGTTCCACAGCCATGCGCAGGAAATGATCCAGTTAGGGATAATGGGTTCTGAGAAATCAAACGTGCAAACCAACACACTTTCAGGCAGACTCTCGCAAGCAGTCCATCTAACCCTAAACATCTGTTAACAAATTCCTCCAAATTGCTGCTCAGACTAGAGGCAGAAACATTTTAATGCACCTGACACTGGAACCACACACATACTCGGTACAATGGCAACTGCCCACCGGCAGCTTTGAAATGCTGCCTTCTCTACAAATGGCCTAAGTTCTACTCATCTATCTCTATCTGATCAGAAAAACGTTTCCACCATGTGAACTTCCATCTTTCTGTCTCAGACCAGTCCAACCAGGTAATTTTCACCTCTGCCTATTCCCCTTCAATTTAACTGCTTCCTCTTCAGGTTTTTGTCTTAGAAAAGGAGATTCCTCTGTCCAGGGCTAGTCTCTATGGCAATGCACAAAGTTCCTGTCATTTCCAGTTGGTTTCCTCCTCATCAGTCTTCTTCAGACACCCTCTAAAACAGATGACGCTCAGAGATCTGAACTCTGTCAAGTGCAGGCCGACCCTCACCGCATGCCTGGCTTACGTTAGTGGTGAAGGTTCGAGACAGAAGCTCTTCTCGCTGCCTCTCCTGCTGTTCCCTTGCATGGCGCCGATGCTGGAAGTTTCTGAGAGCAGTCTGCAGGTGCTGGACATCATACTTTAACTGGTCAACCCGACTGGAATTGATGGAGAGAGAGATTAAATTCCAGGAACTCAGGTCAGCAGAGTCTGAGGGGGCCAGGCTTTGTACTGAGGAAAAGACGGCGTTTCTTTCTCCCCACACCATCCCACGATATACTCCCCCCGCTCCCCGCCCCTGCAAGATCTGATTTCGATCAATGATGTTGAAAGTAAAGAAGTAATTCGTGGTTAAAGTAAGATGGTAGCATGCAAGATTCCGGGAGCTTGACTTCAGTATCTGCTGCTCTCTGATTCTGGATGCATGACAGAGAACAGGGGACAGGAAGCAGGCTCACTGACCTCTTCCTGACCTTCTATGGATTATATCGCTCTCCTGGAAGAAGCCCAAGGGCATCTTTGAGGCAAAGCATCCACAGTTTCATAAAACTTTTGGAAACAAGTGCTGGGGGTGGAGGTGGAGAGAGTGGTTTCATTTTAATTTCATGGTGGACTATCAAACATTAGATCAGTATTTCATTATAGGTGGACTGATTGAAGTGATTTTTCATTTCAACCCAAGAAAAACCCAGCAGGAACCAAAGAGCAGAACAAAACTCCATGGCAACATTAGGCTTCAGGTGGCCATGGGTCTACTCAGAAAAACAGAACTGGAGGCAAAATTTCAAAATGACACCAAAGAGGTAAGGGGTCACAAAGCCTCTGAGTCACAAACCTCATAGGCTATTTATTTTGAGGGGGTATCACTCGAATAGAATTGTGGCCTTTGGGGGCGCTTTTTACTTGCTTAGTCTTATCTTTTCAACATGTACGTGGGTTTTCAGAATATTCTATCGCCTCCCCGCCTCAAGAAAAGCCTGTCTTGCCAGGCCTGGAGTATGAGAGCCATGTCAGAGGTCAGCACTTACAGTTTGGCATTCTGCCTTTTGTTAGGGGGCTCCTTGCTGGACAAAATCTCCAGGCGTTCTAGACAGCTGAATATCTGGTCTATGCTTGCTTGGATTTCGTTTTCTACTACTGCACAAAAGAGAAAAAAGAATAATTGCTGGAAAAAAGACAGTGAATTTAAATTAGAATGATAAATAACACGTTTCTTCAATATCCAATAAACTAGAAACACATATTTCAAAAGGAGAAACATGTATACACTAATGAATAACAGAAAAAAATTCAAGTTATGCTGTAAATGTTGTTTTGAAAAAAGTACATGTATATAGCTGTTAATGACATACAATGCCAATTTTTTTTAAAAAAAAAAAAAAGGCTGAAGGTAAATCTGTAGAAATAAATGTCCTACTTTTAGAAAATAAACATGTAAAGGTTGTCCAAATAAATACTTTAAGCTAAGCTTTCTGTTATAGGTCTCTTTTTCTTTGGGATTCTCAGACATGGATTATAAATAACTAGTAAAAAGACTGCCAATTGAATAGTAATAAGGCTTTTTTTTTTAAATTAAAAAAAAAAAAGGAAGGGGAAGATTAGTATGTGAAACATGCAGAGAACAGTTCCCTTAAAGCTTTCTGTAAGAATGGGTGGGCTGAGCAATGCTGACGTTCCCAAAATAGACCAAATATCAATAGGAAAGGCCCAGGAAAGAGTCCACAGAGGTAAAGAGATATGATAAATACGGTCATTTTCCTTATCCCTTTTGATAAGACTGGCAAAATCACCTCTTTCCATTTCTAATCATGTAACAATGAGATTGTTGAGAAGGCAAACAAAGTCCGATGAACAAAGAAGTGAAAATGTACACAAAAGAAAGCATCCAGACTGCTTCTTGCCCCATAAAGAAGTGACAGCAGTGACACTGCTCCTTCCTAGGCCTTTGCGCCCACAGTGAACAAAGAGAGTAGAGATTAGAGCAAGGTGGGGCACAGAACCAAGAGCAGAGCAGCTTTTGAAGCTGTGAAAGGAGACGTGAGAGAACAGGAGGAATGGGCCCGGCGGGAGCCCAGCAGTGAGGTGGGAAGGCAGCCCCCGCAGGTGGTGTCCATATGACCAACTCACAAAAAGGACCTTTCCTTAGAATAGAAACCACCCCCTCCACCGCCCCGCAGAAAAAAAACAAAAAATCAGCATGCTTCTCAAAAGAAACCATGCTGTGGGAACTAAACTAATTAATATTGCTGTTCGTTTCTAAATAATCCTCCTAAAAAGCCAGAGTTCTCAGCTCTGAAGAAATAGCCAATTCCAGTTAAACATCTCTGAATTTTTATGCAGTACATTCCTCTAAGGACTAGGTAATTAGATTAAGACAGATGGAGGCAAGCGCTTCCATTCCCATAGGGCCATGTCAGGTTGAGTGGAGGGGTAATGGGGGATAAGACTTGTGGGATTCCAAAGGGCACACTCAGGGAAATCAGTGACTTTGCCATAGGGTTTTTCTGTCCACCCTAACAACAAAACTCATTCCATGCTGAATCATTAAGCCCCCGAGGCAGAGTGCAGTCAGGAAACCCAGCCCATTAGCACCCTGTCATCAGAGAAAGGACTCTGGCCTCCACAGTTAATTACTCACAGTGCACAGACTGCTTGTCTGCCGTCTCCAGGCGTCCCATGCGAGACTGGATCTCATGGACCTGCCTATCAAAGGAAGAGGGAGGAAATGAGTGAGATGGGAGTAATCAACAGCGCTTCAGTCAGGAAAGACAATTTTTCGGATGCCAACATGTAACTGATTTAAATTGACAGCATCACCGAACTGTAAAATTTGTATGTGGCACTTTAGGCTCCATGTTTTGGCATGGTTTCTAATATCTTAACTACTAATAATAACACTGATAGGCAGATTGTGGGCGCTTACCAAATCCAAGATACTTTGCCAAGTCAATAACCCTATGAGGCAAGTACCACTATCATCCTCATTTTATAAATAAAACTGTAAGTCTGGAAAGGTTATGTAACTCATTCAAGGTCACACAGCAAGTGATAAACCTCTAATTGGACCCCGCCAATCCTACTCTCTGTTCTATGACCCAATGTGCTAAGCACTGGCCTGTACTAGGAAGAGTCAAAGGGCGAGGGAGACATAATCCTTGTCCTTCAGAAACAACATAATTAGGAATGACAGGCTGGGTGGACACGAACAAGCCCTGGGAAGATTTACAAGAAAAGCAATACACATAAGTGTAAACAAACAGAAAGGGGGTTGCTCTGCACAGTGGTGTCACATGCAAACAGACGGAGGGGAGGGGGGACTGAGAAAGAGAAACCAGGTTCAGTTTTGTGGACGGAGAATTCTGAGCATCACTTTTGAAGAAAGGAGGCATCATTTGGTGAAGGAAGATAGAAGAAAATGATATGTAAAAATTCATACAAGACATGTCATGTGGATTAAAAGCAGGGTGGGCTGCTTGAAAGAGAATCAGGTCGAGGGAGAGGAAGATGAAGTAACTCACTGTAGGAAACCATTCAGAGGAAGGTCCTAAAAGACAGGGACCACCTGTTTGGTAAACATTCTTCCCTGACAATATGAATGAAAGCCACCTCATTTGGAAATGCAACACTATACCCTGGATCTGGGTCACACACTCTGGAGGATTCCCAAGCCTCCTCAAGACCCTTCCTAGCGGTCCTCCATGATCAGACCTTGGGATACTGCTTATGCTGGGCACACCATCCACTTCCTGGTGCTTACCCAAGTTAGAGCCCACATGAAGGGGGCCTGCTGGGCTCTCACATCATCCCCAACCCTGGATGGTCAGCAACCATTCTTCACCGTGAATACTGCAAACCATAACTCCAAATTTACCAGTGCCAGCCAGGCACCCAACTTTGGCTTCAGCTTGTGCCCAGTCTTTTCCAGGGCTTCCTTGTGGCCTCCAGACATGCCCTTGGGCACCAGAAGAAGCTGGGCGAGCTGTCAAATGGCTCCCCAAAGTGCTCCTAGGCCTGTAGCCCTGAGAAGCAACTAGAAATCACTAGTAGAGTCCGAGACCAGACCATTGCTTCTGGAAAGTAAGTGTGGGATATTCTGGGATGATGCAGGGGTGTGGAGCTAAGGGGGCTGATGGAAGAATGCCGCCTGAAGTAGCTGACATCTCAATCAGGGCAACCATGGGAACAGGTGTAGGGGACTGGATGGTAACAGGAATGGAAAAGAGAATTAGGACTCTAATGAAGTCCTGATGTAGGCTGTGAGGTAAATTTTCAATGGTGACTTAACAGAAAATTCTGAAAGTTGGTAATATTACCAACAGAAACAGTGACATAATAAAAAGGTGGGGGAGGCAAAGAACAGCCAAGACCACTCTGAAGGAGGAGGAGGAGAAATGACTTGTCCCACCCACCATTATGACTTATAAAGCAGCAACAATGGAAACAATATGGTGGCAGCACAGGTACAGACGGACAAGGAAAGGCAAACCCGACACCTGACCCATGACGCGAGAGAGAGCCAGACGCAGCCCCATGTATTGGGGAGCTTTTGAAAGAAGGGACTACAATCAATGCCAACAGCTCTGATTTGTTATCCATACAGAAAAAGGACACCTCAGGTAACACATAAAAATAAACTCAAGCTCGCTTAAAACCTAAATGGGAAAAGCAGAGCTTTCAAACTTTCTGAAGAAAATATAGACGTGCATAAATGACCTAGGTTACAGGAGGACTTCCTATGCAAGACAAAAATCCCAAAACTACCCACTCCAACAAAACCCACAGACCACAAAGGAAAAAAACGGATACAACTGACAACATTGAAACAAAAAACATCTGTACACCAAAGCCACAAAATAAATAAATAAATAAATAAATAAATGGCACAGACTGGAGATATCTGCAGCAGATTCACAAAGGATTGATGTGCAGAAAACATACAGAGAACTGTTACAAATCAACAGGAAAAGTCAAACAACGCATTTTTTTTTTCTTAATGAAGAAAGGGCAAATGACAAAAAGGAAAACCCAAATGGTCAATCGACATACAAAATGACAATCAACTAGGAAAACACAAATGAAAAGCAATGAGGTCACATTTCTTTAGCCCATCAAACTGACAAATATTTTAAAGGTTGAAGACTTACGCATTAATAAGGATATAGGGAAACCAAAGCTCTCATTACCCAGCTGGATTATAAATTGGTAAAATGCTTAAAATGCTAACAATAACTAGTAGAATAAAGCATGTATCCATCCTATGGCCCAGCACTTTGATGAATACGTCCTAGAGAGGTCCTGGCATACACTGAGGAGATATGCAAGGCAGGGATGTTCATCAAAGCACTTTTGTACAGGCCCATAACCCATTGACTTTTCCCATCCAATCTCTATTTGCTTTGAACCAATTAGAGAAGATGTAGCCAATAATACAATTCCAGTCGCTACATTTCATGCTAAGAAAAGATAAATGTGAAACAACAAAGCAAGTACCAATGGTAAGGTGGGAACTACTAAAGTGGAAAATGTTTCAAACTGAACTGGCAATTCTGACAACACAACATGGTGGCTGCAAGTCAATTAGAAACAGGTGATACACAAGCATGACTTGGGAGCATGGACATGAGGAAAAAGCAGCCCATGGGGTGGGCTTGGGTGATAATATAATAGAGCAGAGAAATAGTAGCAAATAAGCCAAGGTCACTGCAGCTGTCTCTAAAAAGGGTTTACAAAAGATCTAGGAAGAATTTTTGAATGGAAGTGCTTTTTAAATGTTCATGAAACTACTCACCATACCACCCCCCCACCCCCCCCACAACCCTGTAATACACACCCACTAAGCATCCAGGCTGCCTCTGACCACTGTGAGCATGAAAATGCTGTGTAACCTATACAGTATCACGTGTTTGTTGTTACTTTAAAGTAGTGGCAACAATCTGGTCATTTTCATTTCACTCACTTTGCCTTTACATTTAGCTCATTAAAGGGCAAAATCTATAAAGAAAAAAATGGTCTTAAGGTAATAGTTCTTAAGCCCAACTGCTTATCAAAATCACCTGGGGGGCCTGTTAAATGTAGTGCTTCTTGTGCCCTGGACATACTGAGTCACAATCCCAGCAATAAGGTCTACGACAAGGGACTAATCTTGGACTACGCAGGGGACAAATGTGGGCACCTTTACAACCACTGGGATCTCAAAAATTGAAGCTTGGCTATTAGCTCCTCTATAAAGTTCATCTAAATGAAATATTTAAGTGTAAAATGTTTATTCTGTTTTTCATCTTTTATTTTCATTCATTCATTGTTCAGGTAAGTTCAGGAGTTTTCAAGTAACTTTAAAATGTCAATCTAATTCCAATGTACTCAATGTATTCAGGGCCATGGCAAGAGATAACCACAAACTGGGTTCAAAGTTCCAGTAAAATTAGTATGCTCAGCTACTGTTGTGTCAACTCAGCTACAATCGTTAATTTCCGCAGTTGGGAAAATTCATCGCTGGTGCTCTCCAGACTCCACGTGTTTCCTGTGAAAGTAATTCAGTCACCAGTTCTGTATCATGGAACTGAAAGGAGCCTTACAGTTTAACCAGCCCACACTATAATAGCATTCTACGGATAAGGAAAAACAAAGTAAGGAGGTCTAGAACCAGAACTCCCACTCCTAGTGCAGCACTTGAGAAAAAAGAAGATACTGCAGCATGAAAGAAAGTGAACTCCTCGAGGGCAGGGCTGTGCTGCCAGCACTGAGAATGGTACACAGTACATAGTAGGTGCTCAATAAATATTCATTGAATGAATGAGTGTCAGGGTAATAGAGAGCCTAATAATTATGAGGCAAAGCTATACCACTGCTTGTTTTGACAAACTGTACTGGAACACAGGCACTCAATTAGTTTACATACTGTCTATGGCTGTCTTCCCGATATAACAGCAGAGCAGTCACTACAGAGACTGTACAGCCCACAGAGCCTAAAATATTTACTATTTTAAAACTGATCCTTAACAGAAAAAACTGGCAAACTGCTAGAGTCCAAGGGTGTGTTGCTGGAGCTGGAGGCCTACAGAGTTTATCTACACTCCACACACCTTGTTTGGGGCACCATTTAGTATTCCTCTTCTAAGCTATGCAGATTTCTCTGTGATTAGCTGCACTGAAAACAGGTACAGTCTAAGACTCTCTACACAAAATTATTCTTGACTATAAAATGGGTCATGGCCTTCTTGGCAACATCTTTTCACTAAATTAACTAAATAAGACCATACGTAACAGATTAACTTCAAGGCACTACTATTCCCATTGTGCCCTGCTACTGTAAAAGACCTGCCCTTTCTCAGTAACATGAACATAGTTTCGCTTCATTCTTTTTCTAAATGACTCAGAGGCTAGTTTAAGTCCCTTCCTATGTTTGTGAGACTAGGGCTCCCCAGTGTAAAAGAAAGTTCTGTCATTACAAAGTAGGTTCTGCATTTTCGCCCACCCAAATGAAACCCTTCATCGCCAAAATAAAAGAAACCCATAAGCTTAGAAAATGAAAGCGTAAGAAGATCATCATCCTCTTATTCCTAATGGTCAGGGCCTTTCATTTCCAGGCCTTGGGAGTGTCATTTTAGGTGTTTTAATCAACAAAACTACAGCGTAAGTTTGAAAGTTCTTAATAGGATTCTTAACAGGATAGGTTTTTTTCCCTAAAAAATTGAGAAGAGGAACTAAAACTTGTACATGAGAGTTCACAGCAGTTATTATTCTCAATAGCCCAAAGGCGGAAATAACCCAAGTGCCCATCAACAGATGAATGGATAATAAAATGTGGTAGATACATACAACTATTATTCAGTCATAAAACGGAATGAAATTCTGATAACAGGCTACAATATAGATGAACTCAGAAAACATTAAGTGAAATAAGCTAGATACAAAAGGAGAAATTCTGTACGACTCCACTTACATAAAGTATCTAGAATAGGTAAATTCGTAGAGAGAAGTAGAACAGAGGTTACTAGGTGCTCTGGAAGGAAGAAATGAAGTGCCTGATTAATGGGCACTGTTTGGGATGATGCAAAAGTTCTGGAAATGGATCGTAGTGATGTAAGTTGTGAATGTATTTAATGTCACTGAATTGTACACTTAAAAATTGTTAAAATAGTAAATCTTATGTTGTGTATATTTTACAATAAAAAAAAAATCATAAAATTCTGTCGCCATAAAATAGAGTAAGTATGGCCGCATTACCATACTCAACTACGAATCTCAGCGAGTTCCAAAAGTGCAGGACGATGCGAATAAAGGACACTACCAAGGAATTTAAGTTGTGAAAAGCTAAACGAAAATTCGATTTCCTTAGTGATAACCTGTAACCAGATACGATTAACAAGTACTAATAGTAAATGCCACGTGGACAGCAACTTCTTTGTACCATAAAAATGTGGTCTTTAGTATAAATCAAGTAAAAATACAAATATTTTCCCGTACGTGCCTTGACTCTCCAATTAAGCAGTACACTCCTGCGGGCAGGGGCGGTGTCTCCTACCCCATGTTTCCTCTCGAGCTCTACCAACCCGGAGCACCGAGTAGATGCCGGACAAAGTTTTAGAACCTCCAGGTGCCACTTTCCCCTCACCCAGTTTACCCAGTAGGTAGTCACGGGCTTGCAGACCCCAGGAGCCATCTGCCCCACGTCTCCAAGCCCCAGGCTGGACCGGCTGATCTGGGCGTCCCGCCAGGGATTAAGTACTTCGGAGGCATCTCCAGCAGTGCCCCGGCAGAAAAACTCGGCCTCTTCTGCCCCAGCGGACGTCCGAGGCCCCAGCTCCAGAAGCAAGCCTCACCTGGCCTAGCCTCGCCTAGCCCCCGCCCGCTCCCCGACGCGGCCCTCACTTGTGCGTTTGCTGGTACAGGGGGTCCATGTCGCCGGCCCCGCAGGCCACGGATGCGGCTCTGGCTTCTTCGAACACGTCCTCACAGCCCCACTTCCGGCTTCCGGCTTCCGGTCTCAGGACCCTCCCTCCCCTGCAGGCCAGGGCTGCCCGCACGCGCGCCTTACTAGCAGTGGTTGCGAGATCGGAGAAGGGGAAAGAGAAATGAGGCCGGCGATGGAAGGATAAGTGTAGTCACAGGCTCGGTTTCACGTGAAGACCACGGAGGTGTAGGCGTTCGCAGACGGCTAGCCTCAGTATTCGGTCAGGCATTGGGAAGGACAGTCGCGGGATACTGACGAGAGGTCCTCGGAGCAAAGTTGCAGGCGAGCAGGGACACCTGCCCTTCCCTGCCGCAGAGGGACGGGAAGTTCTTGCTTGGCTTCGCTTTAAACCGTTTAATCGGGGGCCTGGAGATTTCGCTCTCCATTGGATTCCTTGGCGCATGCTTTTCCTGTCTCGCATTTGTCCAGTCACTCTCCCGCCTCTCTACCCCTCATTCCTATTTATCCATCCAATAAATCCACATTGAATGAGTGATTATTATGTGTCATGTGTAAAGTGGGGAAAACCGGTTTCCTCCTGCCCTCAAAGAGGTTCTGGTCTGGAAAAGGAAATAAGATATATATACTGTACTATCAAAAGACAAAATTACAAGAAATGTAGTTATACATCTTAACTAGCTATTTGCGATCCTAGCACCGGGCAACACCTTATTCTGTAAAATAGAATGAGTATTCTGACGAGCGGACTAGAGAAGATTGTTTTTATAGACAGAAAAGGGCTGAAAAAAAAAAGCAGAAACAAAGAACAAGTTTCAAAGTTAATTTACTTGTATTGGTTAAAGCAGAAGGGACTTCCTTTATCATGGGGATATGGCTATTTTCCCTCTCCTCTGATTTCTCCGAAGGTCAGATGAACAGCTTAATTTCGGCTTTGTGGCTTGGAACTTCAGCACGAGTGACTCTATTTTGTTTTGGTCTCTTGGGCCTAGTGCAGGAGCTGATTCCAAACCAAAGGCTTTCTATAAATTTTATGTATCAAGACAAACATTCTACAAGAGATTCCAAACATTCCAAAGAGATTGAGCTGAGCTGGGGGTCGTCTCTAGGAGGAGATTTAGGAAAGACTTAATGAAGGTGTGGCATTTGAGCCGGGACTGGGATTTGGACACTTCTGCGTCTCCACATAGGCTATCCCATTTCCATCCTCCCAAGCTTATCTGCTATTCCTCCCAAGGGAGGAGACGTTCTTTTCTTCAACAAGTTGATACTTCTGTTTTCCTGGATCCTGAATCCCACCCAGTTTTGTGTCCCAAGAGACTGTCCGCCCATGTACATTCTTTTCCTAAAATCATGTTTTCACTTTTTCTGTCATTGAGCATCTACTATGCACCATGCACAGATACGGGTGATAGGAACAAAAGCAAGACATAGCCCTCAAATCTCCGATATCTCTCATGGTCTGTTGGGAGGACTAATCATAACTTCAAGCTGCATTATTAAGTAGAATACATGCTACAATTGATACAAAGTACCATTTCCCTGGGGAGGAGCAAGAAGGGATCATGGACAAAACAGCATACTAATAGGACCTTCAAAAATCAGCAGAATCTTAACAGTGTCTTGCATATACTAACCACTCTGAAAATATTTTTTGTATGCAGAGATGAGGAGGGCATTTGAGTCTGAGGGACTAGCTTGAACAAAGGCAAACAGAAGGAAAGAACATGAATCTCCTCTGGCTGGATTCAGGGTGCTTGGGCAATAACAGTATTTGAAGAAAGGTTAGAGCCAGATCATAGGAAATATCTTTTTTTGTTTTGAGATGGAGTCTCTCTCAGCTGCGCAGGCTGGAGTGCCATGGTGCAATCTTGGTTCACTACAATCTCCGCCTCCTGGGCTCAAGCGATTCTCCTGCCTCAGCCTCTTGAGGAGCTAGGATTACAGGTGACCACCACTACACCCGGCTAATTTTTGTATTTTTAGTAGAGACAGGGTTTCACCATGTTGGTCAGGCTGGTCTCAAACTCCTGACCTCAGATGATCCGCCCACCTCAGCCTCCCAAAGTGCTGGGATTACAGGCGTGAGCCACTGTGCCCAGCCAGGAAATCTTAAATGTCAGCAATTGCGTTTTTATTTATAGATTTTTATTTTGTAAGTAGTTGGAAGCTATTAGAAAAATCTGTCAGAGGATAGAAATATTAAAAATTTCTCTAATAATTTTTATGTCTATGTCTTCTTTTCCTTTGGGTCTCATGGCATCCCTGGGAAGTGGATAAGGCAGATAAGGAAATTAAGTCCAGAAGATCTCCCTTCTGCCTCTGAGTATCTTAATTCTTTACACAGATTTAGGTCTTCCTCTAAATAGAAGAAAACTCCACTCTCCATCTTACTGCTTTCCTTTTTCTTTTCTTTTTTCTTTTTTTGTGATGGAGTCACGCTCTGTCACCAGGCTGGAGTGCAGTGGCACAATCTCAGCTCACTGCAACCTCCGCCTCCCAGGTTCAAGAGATTCTCCTGCCTCAGCCTCCCTAGTGACTGGGACTACATGTATGTACCACCGTACCTGGCTTTTTTTTTTTTTTTTTTTTTTTGTATTTTTAGTAGAGATGGGGTTTTACCATGTTGTCAGGCTGGTCTTGAGCTCCTGACCTCAAATGATCTGCCCGCCTTGGCCTCCCAAAGTGCTGGGATTACAGGTGTGAGCCACCATACCTGGCCAGGACAGAGAATTTCTGCAGTAGAGGAAGACTGAGTTAGAATGGTGAGTCAGTCATGCTGTGGGCAGGAAAAATACTTTGCCTCTGCCCTGTGACCATGGATAAATGTCTGACAGGCTTTTGGCCTCAGGTAATGGGATGAAGTCTTTCAGGAAAATCAATGTGATGACAGGTATTGTGCCTTTACCCGAACTTCAGGAAGTGCCCCACAGTTCCAGATTTCCAGAATTTAGCAAACCAAGTCATAGTTAGTGTTTGTTTCCTTTGTGGTGAGACAGACTTGAAACACGTGTGTCTGAAGGGGACTTTTGGTCTAACTTGATGAAGCTTAATTCTTATCTCTGGAACTGTATTAATCTGTTGTGTCTCTCTGGCCATCTCAACCAGATAAAATAGAATAATTATTTTTTTCTTTCTTTTTCTTTTGAGACAGAGTTTTGCTCTTCTTGCCCAGGCTGTAGTGCAATGGTATGACCTCGGTTCACTGTAACCTCCACCTCCCCGGTTCAAGTGATTTTCCTGCCTCAGCCTCACAAGTAGCTGGGATTACAGACATGAGCCATCATGTCCACTAATTTTTGTATTTTTAGTAGAGATGGGGTTTCAGCATGTTGGCCAAGCTGGTCTCAACCTCCTGACCTCAGGTGATCCACTCACCTCAGCCTCCCAAAGTGCTGGGATTACAGGCATGAGCCACCACACCCGGCTGTAATAGAATAATTCTATTATCCCTTCTCTTAAACTATTAGTGGGTCCTCTACTCCCCTGGCCTGGTCACTCTCCTTCTCAGTGCACCTTCCAATACTTTTTCCTCCTGGGCCCCCTTTCCCGCTATTGTGTGTCCCACCTGTGCCAATGCTCACATGCCACCTTGCACAGTTGGTGCCAGCTGTGCATATGCCCCACTTCCCCTACTAAACTATGAAATGCCCTCATCATTCCTCAACCAACCCCTCTACTTTCGATCATCCTCTTCAAAGTTCCCCAAAAGATCTTTCTAAAACACAGAGTAGGCTGGGCATGGTGACTCACACCTGTAATCCCAGCACTTTGGGAGGCCAAGGTGGGCGGATCACCTGAAGTCAGGAGTTCAAGACCAGTCTGGCCAACATGGTGAAACCCCATCACTACTAAAAATACAAAAATTAGCCAGGGGTGGTGGCACATGTTTATAATCCCAGCTACTCAGGATGCTGAGTCAGGAGAATTTCTTGAACCCAGGAGACAGAGGCTGCAGTGAGCCGAGATCACACCACTGCACTCCAGCCTGGGCAACAGAGTGAGACTCTATCAACATAAATAAAAATAAAAAATTAAACACAGGGTTGGTGCCTTGCCATGCTAAGCCTTTTGATGGCACCCTGGTGTCTAGAGAACATAGTAATATCGTCATCTTGGCAGACAGAGCCCTCCGTACTGGCCTCATCCCTGGTCATTCCCCCATCCTAACTAGAATAATTGCTGCTCTCCTCGCAAGGCCTTTGTGCCTTCCAGCCTTTGCATGCACTGTTTCCTGTGCTTCAAACACCCTTCCCTCCATCTCAGGCCTAAGCTACTCCCGTTCATTCTTCAGGTCCCACTCTGAATTCACCTTCCTTGGCGTGTGGCCCCAACCCTTAGGCTGGGCTAGAACCCCTACCCATGCTTCCTTAGCACTGGTGCTCCTTCTCAGAACCTGTCACAGGGGTCCCAATTCTCCATCCACCAGCCCGAGGGCAAAAGATGTGTCTTGCATCTCTGCATTTTCCCCAGCATCCAGCTCAGTGCTTGGGGTGAGGTAGGTGCTTACAAACTTCCTGTTGCCTGGAAATGGACTCCGTTTCATTAACTCATTCTCCTAAGTGTCCTACCTGCTTGGCATTTCAGAAACCTAGAATTATTTGGAAGTCGACATTTAGGCAATTATAAACTGCCCACAGCGGTGGAGTCATTCGTGGTGGAAGAGCTGTCACCTGGAATCAGTGCAGAGAGCCAAACACAGTGCCTCCTCTTTAGGCACCGGAACCGTTGCTCATCCTGTGCCCCAATCCGCCTCATGGGACACAGCACAGGCATCACCATGCCAGTTTTCTAGACAAGGACACTGAACTTCAGAGAAATTAAGTCACCTGCCCAAGCTGACCGAGCTTGCTGGTGGCAGAAGGGGACTAGGACCAGGCTGCAGTCATAAATCACCCTTCAGGTAGCTGCTGTATCATCTGGCCTTTGTGACCCAAAAAGGGCCCAGTCACACAGATAAACAGGACACCTCTGATGGCTTCACTTTGGACAGCAACAATGACCCCA